TAATACCCATGCAGTGTTGCTATGGCTGTCAATAGATTCTATGAACATACCACCTATGGCCACAGAACATAATAATACTTGTGTGGTTGTTCTATGGCTGTCAATAGGCACTATGAACACAACACCTATGGCTACAGAGCATAATAATAACCATGTGTTGTTGCTATGGCTGTCAATAGACTCTATGAACACATCGCCTATGGCCACAGAGCATAATAATACTTGTGTGGTTTGTCTATGGATGTCAATAGACTATGAAAACACCACCTACATGTATGGCCACAGAGCATAATAATACCCATGTGTTGTTGCTATGGCTGTCAATGGACTCTATGAAAACACCACCTACATGTATGGCCACAGAGCTGATAAAACCATGTGCTGTTGATATGGCTGTCAATAGGCACTATGGACACAACCACCTATGGCCACAGAATGTAATAATACCCATGTGTTGTTGCTATGGCTGTCAATAGACTCAATGAACAACACCGCCTATGGCCACAGAGCATAATACTACTTGTGTGGTTTTTCCATGGATGTCAATAGACTCTATGAAAACACCACCTACATGTATGGCCACAGAGCTGGTAATACCCATGTGGTGTTGCTATGGTTGTCAATGGATTTTATGAACAAAACACCTGTGGCCGCAGAATGTAATAATACCCATGTGTTGTTGCTATGGCTGTCAATAGACTATGAACACACCACCTATGGCCACAGGGCATAATAACACATATGTGTGGTTTTTCTATGGCTGTCAATAGGCACTATGAACACACCACCTATGGCCACAGAGCATAATAATACCCATGTGGTGTTTCTATGGCTGTCAATAGACTATGAACACACACTACCTATGGCCACAGAGCATAATAATACCCATGTGTTGTTGCTATGGCTGTCAATAGACTATGAACACACACTACCTATGGCCACAGAGCATAATAATACCCATGTGTTGTTGCTATGGCTGTCAATAGACTATGAACACACTACCTATGGCCACCGGGCATAATACTACCCATGTGTGGTTTTTCTATGGCTGTCAATAGACTATGAACACACCACCTATGGCCACAGAGCATAATAATACCCATGTGGTGTTTCTATGGCTGTCAATAGACTATGAACACACCACCTATGGCCACAGGGCATAATAATACCCATGTGTGGTTTTTCTATGGCTGTCAATAGGCACTATGAACACATTACCTATGGCCACATAGTATAATAATACCCATGTGGTGTTTCTATGTGCCATGTTGAACACATCTTGTATGTTGCTCATTCTTTATACTATTGACTCTCATAGAGGATCAAGAACTCAATATCGAACATTTACAGAAAAGATGGACATCACAGATAATTAAGTAAGTCAGTTTCAGTTTTTTGGTTTCAGTAAAGAATATTATGTAATGTATATTCGCTACTATAGTGTCAATTATTGTTCAGAACAGATACTCAGTGTCAGGTAGTCCATGTCATGTAAGTGTTCATTGGATAAACCCTTGTGTCAGGTACTCCATGTACGTTTGTATGGGATAAACCCTTGTGTCAGGTACTCCATGTACGTTTGTATGGGATAAACCCTTGTGTCAGGTACTCCATGTACTTTGTATGGGATAAACCCTTGTGTCAGGTACTCCATGTACGTTTGTATGGGTTTGTGTCAGGTACTCCATGTATGTTTGTATGGGATAAAGCCTTGTGTCAGGTACTCCATGTACGTTTGTATGGGATAAACCTTTGTGTCAGGTACTCCATGTATGTTTGTATGGGATAAACCCTTGTGTCAGGTACTCCATGTATGTTTGTATGGGATAAAGCCTTGTGTCAGGTACTCCATGTACGTTTGTATGGGATAAACCTTTGTGTCAGGTACTCCATGTACGTTTGTATGGAATAAACCCTTGTGTCAGGTACTCCATGTACGTTTGTATGGGATAAACCCTTGTGTCAAGTACTCCATGTATGTTTGTATGGGATAAAGCCTTGTGTCAGGTACTCCATGTACGTTTGTATGGGATAAACCTTTGTGTCAGGTACTCCATGTACGTTTGTATGGGATAAACCCTTGTGTCGGGTACTCCATGTACGTTTGTATGGGATAAACCCTTGTGTCGGGTACTCCATGTACGTTTGTATGGGATAAACCCTTGTGTCGGGTACTCCATGTACGTTAGTATGGGATAAACCCTTGTGTCGGGTACTCCATGTATGTTTGTATGGGATAAACCCTTGTGTCAGGTACTCCATGTACGTTTGTATGGGATAAAGCCTTGTGTCGGGTACTCCATGTACGTTAGTATGGGATAAACCCTTGTGTCGGGTACTCCATGTACGTTTGTATGGGATAAACCCTTGTGTCAGGTACTCCATGTATGTTTGTATGGGATAAACCC